GCTGGGCCATGTCAGATAACCCTTAATGCATTTGCTAATGTTTCTTATTTACCTTTCAAGTTGCCTGCAAGAAGTAAAGACTCGACAGAAAATGTGATAGAAAAACATAAAGGCTGCTTTTTTTTTTTTTTCTTGGGGTGGGGAGGGTATTCTTTCTTCTTCTTCTTGGGATTTAAAAGATTATTAGATGGAATAAGCAGTTCTTATGTCCTTCCCAGGGAAAGGTATTTTGCTTGTTCAGGCTCTGGCGTGCGAATAAACTTGTGGTACTACGAACTGATTCATGCTGCTCTCCGGTGGCACCGCGTAGTTCGGGTCTGACTGTTGCACAGTCGGCAGAGTCTATTTTTAACCAGAGGGAGGTTATGAAACCTTAGCCCCAGCTGAGTGCAGATAACCGTGCTGGAGCTCCCGCGCCCGGGAAGCTGCGCAGGGTGCACGGGCTCTGTCCGAGGGCCTCGCTCTGCGCTTGGGAAGCGCCAAGGCCACGAGGGAAACCACTCGAGTAAATATGAAAAGAATTAAAATAGTTAAATGAGCGGGGCATAAATCAGGGCTGATAGCGGGCTGGTTATTAAGTAAGCCGGAGGCGTTGCTGGAGCCGGCGCTGGTGTTCGGGCCGTGCTCGCTCCAAGATCGCCTGTCCCGCCGGGAGCAGGGGCAGACAGATGGACCCCCAGAGCCTCCCCATGGGGGAGGGCAGGGATTCCTCCCTGCCGTGATTCCCGCGCGGCTCCGGGAGCGTCTGCGGGAGTCGCACCGGAGCGGCACGCGGTTTGGTAGCCCCTGCGGCTCGTGGGGAGGCAGCCGGCCGACTCACGGCTCGGCGGGATGCGGCGCCCGCTTCCCTCCTCCTTGCACCCCTAACATCAGCAGATGGGCTCAAAAAGGGAAAAATGGCCCTTTAACCCATTGCATCCTTTATCCTTTTGTTTGCTTGTTTTAACTCTGTTGCTTTGTGGAAAGAAAGTGGCTTTTAACTATTCCTGGGATGTTTTCATGCTTTGGCGCGCTCCGTGGGCAGGAGGCCACCACGCCGTGGGAGCGCCCTTGCTCCTTGGGTTTCTCCTGCAGTGCCCAAGGTGCCAGTTTGGGCAACTGGGATGCTACTGGGCACTGAAACTGCAATGCTGGCCACACTTGGAGGAGTTGCATTTGCCTCACTGGCCTTGTTGCACCCCACAAAGTGTGCAGAAAGCTCCAAAATACCACTCAGAGAGTCCACATACTGCTACCCAACCATAATGGCTCTTTGTGCAGTTATAAATAGCCCAAGTGGACACTGATACCAGTTTTGGTCGCCTTCTTCTCCGCTTGGCTACACAAATGCCAAACCTTCTTAAATTGAAATGACTCGAAATATTTACAGCTGATACGTCGTCCAAGAGCAGGATAGTTAAAACATTAATTCCTTGCATTCCAGCGTATTAGGGCTTTACCCTGCAACTCACTGAGCGCCAGAAATAGGACTTAACAGATTCAATTCCCTTCCCCCCAACTCGACGGCCACCTCCACCCACTGCCTCCCCCCAACTTTCATGCTCAAAAAAAAAAGAAAAAAGGAGGGAGAGAGAGAAAAAGAAAGGAATGCACATCTGGGCTAAATATTTGTTAGAAAGTATTCCCAGGATAGTGGGAGTTCTGGTGCCAGAGAGGAATTCCTGCGGGTTTGATCCATTGCATTATGTACTTGTTCCAAAAGCTGTTTTCAGTAAAATAGATGAGTAAGAAGTCTTAGCCAAGAACAGAATGTCTTTTTTGGCAACTAAAAGGAAGATAGGATTATTTTATTTCAGGTTATGTAAAAAGGGGGAAAAAAAGGAAAAAAGGAGAGAAGGTGATAAAATCCTCCTGCACTCTGTGGTGCTTGCAGGGATTTGCAACGTCAAGCGCAGATCTTTTTTTTGTTGTTGTTCCTTCACGCTGCTCTGCACATTCTTGTGACTTCCATGTAAGTGTAGGGCTATAAATGTGGAGTTGAGATTAAGACTTCTGGAATTACTGCAATTAAAATATCCTCATTGCGTCTGAATTGGCCTTGGAGGCTCTTTGGCAGAGCAGCCAGCAGTTTTGGCGACAGTGGTTTCAAGGCGGTGTGGAGTCGCTGGCGTGGATTCTGCTCCCAAGGGCTGGGGTCAAGAGGGAAAAGCATTGGCTTTGCCCTCACAATCCTGCAGGATCTGTTTTTTGGAGGGGGAGAGGGGTAGTGGAGAAATACAAGTAGACAGTGATGGGTGCAGCCCTACCATATCTGTATGGTGCAGAGTTCATGAGAAAGATTGAAAAACTTGACCTGTAAAATGTTCCAGCCTCAAATTGGGAAACGGGAGGAAGGGGAGAGCATTATAGGAGAAGATGAATGTGTGTTGGCTGGTGGGCAACAGGATCTCCAGAAGCTTTCTCCCATTAATTGAGAATCAAGTTTGCATGATACCCACCTTGTGTTGACAAACAACAGATATTTTCAATACTACAAAGGTCAGAAAGAGCCAAAGGCCTTTTTTTTTTTTCTATATATTTAACTGTTCTTATACATGAGTGAGGTGTGCGCACCTTCCTTATTTCTTCTGCTAAACATGGCTAATCAAGGATGATCAGTGCTTCAGGGTAAAAGAAAATAAAAAATAAAAAACAAAAAACAAAGACTGTGCTGTCTAACCAGCTTCCTTGGCTCTGGCTCTGTGTTTGCGTTAATCTGGGTAGTTTCCTTGAGACAATACTTGTTTTTTTTTTCTGCTGTGTGGTTGGGGAAAGGCTGTGCAGCTCGTGCTAAGTGACAGATGCTCTTGTGTTAGCATCTTGGAGTTGTGCAGACCACTTCTGATGCCATGTAACCATGGTGCCATCCTTTATTCTGCTGTTCCCACTGCTTTGGGTGTTCCTAAGTCTCATTTCTTTTGGCTGTGGGTTGGGAAGATCTTGATGCTTCTCAGTGGTGCAGGACATGGGGCCATGCTGAGCCAGAAGGGAGATGGATATCGGTGCTTAGGAAGAGGGAATCCCTTGAGGGGAAGATTTGGCCCTTGGATGGATGGTGCATGGGAGGTCATTATGGCCCACAGCACCATAGGTGGCACAGAAGCAGAAACTGGGAGGGCAATAGATCTTAGGAAGCAGCCGTTCACATCAGCATGGAGAGGGGAAGAGAGGGTCCCGCAGTGAGTGAGCTGGGCCAGACCAGTGTTATTTTCCTGGGACTTAACTTCATTTTCAGCTGTGTGACCTTGACTGCTCTACCACCCTCCAGCATCTCCTGGCAAGCTTGGATGTAGTCAAAATTATATCTGTGCCCATTCATGTTTTGGCTTTGGCTTTTTTTTTTTTTCAAATCCTTTGTCACAAGGACACTTGTCTTTGCCATTTGCTGTCTGTCCCACTTGCACAGAGACATCTCAGAGGGCTTCTTTCTCCCTTTGGTGTCTCTGACGTGGCATCCATGGCTGGAGAAAGACCTGAGGGCTGGGACTTCGCAGGGGATCCCCACTGGCCTGGAAACCTGGCAGAACAGAGAAGCCTCTTGCCTTTTCTTGCAAAGTTTTTGACCTCTCCTCTTCTAACAGCTATGGAGCTGGGAAAACCAGGCTAAGAAGTCCTCTCGTCTCTGCTGGGCCTTGTTCCATCTGATGGGTTTGGAGGGTTTCCACTCTCCTGTTGGTTGCTTAGAGCAAGTTGATGCCCTACCCCTGCTGAAAACAACTCAGAGTGAGTGGTTGGTCTTGTGTGGGCCAGGGCAGTGAAGAGGTTAATCCAGGTGTCAGGTAGGACATACAGCAGGCAGCAGCGGGGCTGAAGGACCACGGCCAAATCCACCTTCTCCTCCCCATCTGTTTTGGATTCAGGACCCCCTCAAAAAAAACAACTGGTTGCAAAACCACCTGCATTCCCAGATCTGTGCACAGGGACGAGGTGGGTCGGTGGCGACCTGGTCCCGGGAGCAGAGCACTGCCACGCTGGGGCCCCTTTGCACAATGTGCAGCAGATGATTAACTTCTGGGTCCCGCAGATCTGATTCCATCCAGCAATTTTTAACCCTTTTGAGGGCTCACTGTCTCCGGGGAAGCTGTTTGTGGGTGGGATTGATCAGTGCTGATGGCAGGCCTTGGAGGCACCGTGCACAACGTGTAGCACCACGTATGACCGTGCAGGCTGCCCAGATATTGGAAGTCCCATCACTAAGAGGTTTTGGAGTCATGCCAGGTGGTTCATATTGTCTTTTGGTGTCTGTCAGCTGGTGGCTTTTATGGAGAGCTGCAGTAGGCATGCCAACAAGAGGCGAGCAAGTGAAACGTTTCTGCCCCCGATGGACAAATTCACTCCCCTGGAGTGAGTGGAAAAAGCAAACAAAAGCTGAAGGTGTTTGCAGTTGGCCTGGCAGCACGTGGAGATGCTTGAGATGATGGAAGAGCACAAAGGAGGTTTAGCAACAGAGACTAACGCCGACCTGCTTTGCTTTTCATTAGCTGCGTAGGGTTTTTTATTGCTTGATACATAACCCTCCCTAAACAAGCAGAGGGGCCTGGCTATGAAAGGCACTGCGAGCAGAAGTGCCCTTCTTCCAAGCTGATACATTTGTATTGCAGTTCTTCATTTAGTAAGTGTGTTTCCCCAGGGGGCTATAGCACGTAAATCACGCCAACAGATTGTTCTCTGCAAACGGGCTTATTTTTATAATTAGCAAGACACTAAAGCTGTAACTGCGCTGAAAGAGAGCTGGGTGAGGAATTAACATCAAGGAATTAGCAAGCAAACTGTGAGACTTCTTGTTTGATAGTGTTGGCATTGATGGAATTTGCTTCTGGGCAGTGCGTTGTACGTGATGGTTGGGTTTTTGGCGAGAAAAATGGGAAATTTGGCAGGTGCACATGGAGGTCTTTAGTAAGGCCCACGTGCACAGGGAGCACCTGGTGGCAATTGCCACCAGGGCTAAGCCAGGTTGACCTGGTGCCATGCTGGGCATTACCGCACTCATGACTTGTCCCTGGGAGCTACTTTTGTTTCCCTCACTTAATTTTGCCTTTCTGCCTCATTTTTCAGGTATATGAAAGACACGGCGCCACCATGAGCGGAGTATTGAAAAGGAAGTATGAACAGCTGGGGGATGACAGCACCTACTGCTCCTCCTCCTCCTGCTCCCCTCTCTCCTCCTCCTCAGCATCCTCCGGCTGGGAATCGGATGAGGAGAGCTCCCATGGAGAGACCAAGCCCAGCTCGGCCTTAATGCCCAACTTCACCCGTGAGTACCTCATGTTGCCACTGCCAACGAGCTTCATGTCATTAAGCTGAACAATTTAGGCCGTTTTCTGCATCAGATGGCTTTTTCAGGGTAGTCCTCCAACACTGTGAGTCCCTCCACAAATCCCTCAATTCACTATCAAATTGTTAAATTGACAGCTCTTATAAAGACAGGCCAGGCCCGCAGTGTTAGTGTTTTCTGCTTTTTTTTTTCTTTTTTTTAAATGATTAACCAGTAGCTTAATTGCCATTGGGAGCCCATTTCCTGAGCAGGCTGGGTGCTCTGCCAGAGACCATGACACATTTGACATTGCCTCCGCTGCTGGTACAGATAAACGCTACTTTGTTTTCTCAGCAAAAGCAGTTTGGAGAGCTTTTTAGGAAAACACATGGGGGACAAGGCTGCAAAAACCCTTATCTGGCAGGCAAAGAACAAAAAAACAAGAGGGGACCATCTTCGGGGAGGAGGAATAGTCCAATCTAGTATATTATGCTGCACACCCACTGTATGTAGCAGTTTAGGTCCACTTAGCAGACGTACACAAACAAGCCGTGGTCTGCGAAGGCTTTAGAAGTCTTGTCATAATAAAGAGTCTCATTCTTGCTTGTCTTTTTCGGTTTTGAGACAAAACAAGGAACTTTTTGTATTTCCCTGGCTCAACTGGAGAAGGGTCAGGAATGGAAAAGCAATCTAGGGGGAGGGAGAAGAGAACGCCAACATTTAACGGCTCCATCGATAAGCAATCGTGGTGGTTAACTCATCCCTTGTTAGGAAGCTAATGCAGCCGATTGAACGGAGGTCATTAGAAAAACGGGGGGCGCAGCTCAGAGATAGCATCAAAGCAAGTGCAGAGCCTGCTGTGAAACCCTCTCCATGAGTTCCCAAAAGCTGCTGATGCAGCTGGGTGAATGCATTTTTGCAGAGGAACCCCAAATGCTGTATTTTGGTGAGGAAGGCCCGCTCTTCTCCAGCCTGCAAGTTGGCAGGTTGGCCAAGCTAACTGCCCCAGCGACACTTGGGACAGTCATTTGGTTCGGTCTCTGCAGCGATGGCCCCAGTTGAGGCTGCCCCTTCCCTTCACCACCCCTAGGACCATTCGGGGGCATCACCACCTTTCTCGAGTATTTTTTTCCCTACTCTTACACAGCAGCAGTTGAGACATCCTGCGCCACCTCCCATGAGAGAGTGAACAGGACCAAAAAACACCCCCGGTGCTGAATTCCTGCCTAGCTTTTGTTCCTGCCATGCTCATGTTGCAGAAAAAGCAGTTCCGTAACCCAATATTACTGCCATTGGTGCTCCCTGTTTTGCAGCCAGGGATGTTGGTGGGGTCTCGACGGCTCTCAGGTTACCCCAGTGTGTCCACCTCCATCTGTTGCGCTGGCAGCAGCAAACATGCTGAGCCAGGTAGCCCTGGAGAGACCCTGCTTTACATAGGGTGTACTGTGTTTCGGCAGTTTTAAGACAAGACAGAGTCATGTTTTGCCACATTTGTCCCCGGATCACCTGCGTGTAGATTAACGTCTTTGCAGCTGCTCTCGAACAAGCCTCTTGAGAATAAACTATAGATTCGTAGTTCCTCCCAGAGGATGGTGGAAGGAAGCACCAGAAAAACAGTCGTTTTGGCGGTTTCGTGCTCAGGATGTGAGCCCGAATGGCACTGTTGCTGCAATATCCATGCTTATGAGTCCTGGGAATGGACCTCACCATCCCAAACATGGGGTGGCTGCAGACCTGCCGGCAGGACCCTCTGATCTGAAGCAAGACAGGCCCATAGGATGTTGTGTTGCTTGTTAGGCTCTGCTGCACATGAAGAATAAGCAAATCTCTGTTTCCTGGGGGAGATCATGCGGGAAGGTGAAGCAGCAGCTGCTTCTTAGAGTGAATCTGCTCAGTGATTCTGCAGCATCAGGGCTTGGCTTAGTTTCTCTCCATCCATTTTCCCCCTTTGGAGATCCACAAGTTGCCCTCAGCTGACGCCAGGTTGCTCTTGACAGTGAAATTGCAAGTCCGGCCTTTACGTAATACTTAACATCCCTCCGTTTGCAAGGATGGCCCTCCTGACTCCATGTGCTTTTTTCCCCCATTTTTAGCCACGTCCATCCTGAAGAAATCCAAGCGACTAAAGAAGAACAATGTGGAGTTTGACCGGGTCACTGTGTTTTACTTCCCGCGCTGCCAGGGCTTCACGAGCGTGCCGAGCCGCGGCGGCTGCACGCTGGGCATGGTGAGCAAGCACAGCTCCTCCAGGCAGTTCACGCTCGCAGAGTTCTCCAAGGAGCAAGAGAACGTGCGCCGGGAGAAACTCGAGGAGAAATTAAAAGAAGAGAAGTTGGAAGCATTGAAATGGAAGGTGAGTAAGAGCATGAGCAGGCGAGGGTTGTTCATAGTTAGTAGCTGCTGTATTTTTCAGGATCTCTCTGGGACCTCAGGGTGTAAGTCCTTGACCTTGCTTTGATCTCCAAAAACCCACAGGCTCCAGCATGGGGTTTTCAGCTCAGTTCTCCACCCTTGGAAGGTGGCAAGAAAGATGTTAATTCCATGTGTAGGGCGGCTGACAGGCCTTTGGGTGAGACAGTAGGGAGAGGCCTGTACCTCCATGGCCTTCAAGCTCTTTGGGAAAAGTCCACTTTGTCCTGGGGCCCAGGTGAGCCACATATTGATTCTGGAGGTTGCCACTACCAGAATGATCTTCCCTTTTCCGTTTTTTTCCAACCCTGGGTGTTGGCGGGCACTGTTGTGGTCCCTTTCCCATGAATTTCCAGGCACACCGAGTTCGGTGGTTGCAGTGGGTCGCTAACCCCTTGCCCGTGCTTTTCCCATAGCTGACCATGAACGGCACGAAGGAGTCGGAGGAGGCCAACCAGCTCACCATCGAAGACATCTCTGACGACGACATCGACGTGAGCAACGTGGACCTGGAGGACGGCTTCTTCCTGCAGCCCTACCCCGCCAAGAAGAGACGAGCACTGCTCAAGGCCGTGGGCGTGAAGAAGATCGACAAGGAGGAGAAGCGGGAGCTGCACAACATCCGCCTGTCACGGGAGGACTGTGGCTGTGACTGCCAGGAGTTCTGCGACCCGGAGACCTGCAGCTGCAGCTTAGCGGGCATCAAGTGCCAGGTAGGGCACTCGTGCCACCACACCACGGTGACACATGCTCCTTCTAAGCAGCACCAGCGATGAAACCTTGCAGGGACACCATCCACGTCACTGGGAGCACCAGCCCATAGCTAGTTTTAAACACTACCCGCAAGGAAATTGCTATAGGGAATTTAGGGATTTTATTCCTTTCTTTTTCCCCCTTCTCTGATGGGTCTATGCCCGCTGTGTTTGGGCATATTTGGTATTTTAGGGGCCACTTGTGCACTAGGCGCTGTGGTCAGCACATGGGGCTCTGTGCACGTGCCACAGCCCCCCTCTAGCGGCTGCTCATAATCCAGCTGTGAGGGACCACAGACGCCAGCTGGGCACTTTGTCCTGCCTCTCAGCAAGGCCCCAAAGCTCATGCTATGTATAGCATATATTAAAAAACATGATGCATAGTTATTAAACTTTTATTTACCCACTATTTTCCACATGTATGTCCATTTAAAGTGTAATGCTTTGCATTTCTTTTTACTTGTCAGCTTCCTTCAAATTTTAACTTATAGTTTGAAGTTATAGTTTTATAGATTTTTAAGTTATAGTTTTAAGGTTTTAAGTTATAGCAAAAGTCATCTTTTTTTTCTAAGACAACCCTGCCAAAGAGCAGCATGCCCTTTTCTATTGTTTTTCTTTTTTCCCTTTTATCTTCCTTTTAAATCTCTTAGCTGTTATTTTGCACTGCTAAGGTGGTTTCTCAGAGTCAGCGAGCAAAGAGCAGTTTCAGTTTTACTAAGCTGCGCTTCCCATGGTTTCCTTGCTGCTTGCCGCAGCTCTTGCAGTGCCTTGGGGCAGGGGGGACAGGGGCGGGACGTAGTCATGGGCCTCACTGGTCTAATGTCACGCTTGCTTGTCCCTGCGGCAGATGGACCACACATCGTTCCCCTGTGGCTGCACCAAGGACGGCTGCGGCAACACCGAAGGGCGAATTGAGTTCAACCAGGCCCGCGTGCAGACCCACTTCATCCACACCATCATGAAACTGGAGCTGGAGAAGAAGCAGCAGAGCAGCGAGAAAGCGGATGAAGGTGCCGAGTCCTCCTTCCGGGAGCGGCTCCATCAGTTCGGCTGCTCGGTAGGGAAGACCGCCTTTGAGGAGCGAGCGGTGCCCCTTACGCCGGCCTTCCAGTTCAACATGGACCTGGAGACCATCGGTGAGAACAGCTGCAGCAGTGACATGACGGACTCCTCCATCTCGTCCAGCCCCAGCGAGGACCTGGAGGAGCCCTATGAGAATGGCCCCTCTGACAAGTCCCAGTCGGATATTGACGATGATGGCCTAGCGCGGATCCTCCACTTCAACGACTCGGACGTCGAGGACAACAGCGACAACTGCCAGGACAACTTGAGTTGCTTCCATCCTGCGGATTTCTTCAGCACTGGCATCGAAGAGCAGTGTATGGAAAAGGCCAATGCAGTGGGGACAGGCTCTGGGCACGTGTCCCACCTCTCCGAGTGCCTGGACGAGAACGCCAACCAGGATGCGAGCTGCTTCCTGGAGGAGGCCGCCCATGCACGCTGCGATGGGCTTTCGTGCTGCGCGGCATCCCCGGCGGAGCCGTGCTCCAAGAGCTACACAGATCTCAGCCTTTCCTCTGACTCCTTGGATTTCTTTCAGTCCTTCTCAGACTATAACTTGGGACCTCTTTATAACTCCTTAAAGGAATACGAAAACCTCGATAACTTCTCCGCGTTGCAGTTTCAATTGCCCAATTTCCCGGGCTTCCCTCAAGCCGCAGATCAGGGCTCCTGTTTCTTGGAGTCGCTCATCGGCTTATCTGAATCTGTCCCCGAAACCCCAGCCCCGTTCACAGACAATCAGCTTCTGGAAGATGCCATTAAGTCATCGCTAATGGAAACGGTGAAAGTTTAAAAAGGGAGGAGAGCAGGAGAGCCTTGGAGCCCCAAAACCAAGACCGGAGACACTTAAGTAGAGCGGGCAAACTTTCACCGAGAGGAAAATGTGCGATGAGAGAACTTTCTAAGCAAAAGAACTATTTTTGGTCTTTATAGAACGTGGACGTTTTGACATACTGCAGCTACAATCAGTTCTCTTGCTGTTTGTGCAAAGTTTATAAACTTTCACTGTGGGGTGGGGAGGGTGGGTGATTTGGGGGAGAAGACTTTCAAGTATGAATTTCCTCGTGTTTTGTATGAAAAGACCTGTTGAGAAATGCTCCTTGTTAACATTGCCAGTTGTACTCGCAGCCCCTTCGAGAAACTTTTCAGTGTTGCAGAAACTTTTTAAGACACCTTTTGAAGCCTGTATTTATTATCAAAAAAAAAATGTGATTTGCATAAGAGTTAGCCCAACATGCTCTTATGTTTAAATCTGACAAGGTTTACAGAAGAGATCCATACATTATATGCATAATCATTCTTTGCCTATTTATTGCAAATTCCAGAATTTTAACTAGCCACTGAAGCTTGAACTAGCACGCAACCTTATTTAAATTGGTAATACCTCAGATGTATTATGTGTACAATCATATTTTCTTTTGCATAATATATCTGTATTTATTTATTTTTTACCTATAGTACATGAATAGCACTGTGGTTTATTGATGACCTGGAAGGGCAATAAGGTCTTTAGCAGCATACATCCTAAAGACAACACTATTTTCCGAGTCTGATAGGTGTCAACTTTATCTGACACGGGTCTGGTCTTCATGTAACATTTCTTAAAAAGCCTAACGGGAGGGAGATGGGGAAATGTGCGTAACAGCATCCTTTGGTAGCTAATGGTCCTTTAGTAGACATGGTAACATGGAGGTGTGCGAGATCCGTAATTCTGCTATGGAAAGCAAACAAGCAAAACCCTAAACCATTCAAAGAATAATAGGAACTCACTGTACGTAAACAAAAGAAGAAGAAAGGAAACCCTTCTCATAAATTATTTCGTAAGTTATTTAATTTCCTAAGGATTTGGCCATGAGATCGCTATTGATCAGTTGTGGTGCCTGAACTTGCAGAGGGACCGTGAGCGGAAAGGACGTTCCCAGTCCGCGGGACTCCGGGGAAGGAGGGTGAAGCCGGCGGCAGCGGCACTGCGCTCGCGCTCTGGATCCAAGTGCTTCGTAGCTCTTGGAAGCACCCCGGATAAAACCGCTCGCAACCTTAGGGCCCAGGCTGTTTATATTTGATTTGTAGGCAAATTCTAATGGGAAAGACAGGAGTGAAGGTTTGGGGGGTTATTTATTGTTCCTGTATAATTCTTCTGGAGGAAAGAAAAAGTAACACCTGGAAAGAAAAAGATTAAAAAAGGCAAAAAAAAAAAGAGAGAAATTATTGCATTCAAGGAAGTCAATAGAGGCCTTCTTGAGCATGTACTGTTTGAATCAGCCCAAGAAGATGACGCTATTTGGTCATGATGTACAATAAGATCAGCACATGGGTGACACACTAAGTGTCTGCCCCAGCGTGAGAAGGAAGGGAACGAGGGTTTGGGAACCTTCCCTTGGGCCAGCAGCTCATATCCACGATGGCCCCATTCGGTACCTGCTAGTCAACAGCTAAATCGCTGGGGACTCATTGGGGCGAAGATGCAAATCTCAGTGTACGAATATAGCGAAGACTGTTGTGTCCTTGTATTGTTATTATTATTGTTAATTATTCTTATTTAATTGTACATCTTCTCTTGCATTGAGCCGGTCAATGTTTTTAGAAGGATACATATGGAAAAGGGAGTGGAGTGGCCGTTGTGGCGCCAACCCCAGTGGGAGCCAGTCCCACACATGCCATCGCAGGAGGGCAGCTGTAGGAATACTACTGGCAGGTGGAGGATTTCCTGGATAAATATATATATATACTAATATATATATATATAAATATAAATATTTTTTTTTCTCAAGAGTGAAAATCCCCTTTGGTTATCTTCTAGGTGGTAGCTTCTATCCTTCAGACTGCATCAAAGATACTGACAGTTAAGAACCTGGTACCGTTCTGTATTTATTGGCACTAATGTATTTTATAACATTCCAAAGTTTCAACACACTTTTTTTAATGAATGATGGGGATGGACTCCTGCCTTTGTGGATTTTTTTTCTATAATTTATTCATTTTATTTGTGTTGGTGCCAAAAAAAAGATTTTTTTTCTTTTTTTTTAAGGCACTGAATTGTAAATATATAATTTTTTTTTCTTCTCAGTATCTGTGTAAAAAGTTGCCTGTTAAACAGTTTAAAAGCTGGGTATTTATTGACACAATCTGTAATTATCTAATGTATTGATTGAAACGCTTTGGTTTCAACATAGCTTTATTTTAGCTTTCTTTGTGTATATATTGTGATTATGTTGCTTAAAGGTACAAGTTAAAAAAAAAAGCTTTATTTTTACCTTATCCATTTTCATTTGTTTAAAGAAAGCATATTTGTCTACAGCTGCTGTCTCTCATTTCATCAAAGCAATATGAAGAAATTTCCATTACACTTTCAATAAAATACTTTTGTTTGGATATGGCACTGCCTTTGCCTCGTTCCTGGCTATTCCAGCACAGGTTTTTGCTAGTAGTTATTCTTTGCACTCACTCGGTAGCTTGCTGGACTGTTGGCATGGACGTTGTAATAGGAGTTGTAGGTGTTTTGAGCGAGTCCAGCCTGGGGAAACCAGACCTCCTAGGCTTGACCCCAAACCTGTCTGCTCTTGGGAGCCCATGGGTGCCTGGTCATGGGAGCCCAAGGTGGCCAGTGGTCATCACCTTGCTGGCATTGACACCCCCAAAAAGGCACAGGGAACACTCTAGGATCCCACCCGCCTTGGAGGTAGCCCAGAAGATCTTGGCCATGCCTACTGACCTCCCAAGGCAGTGTTTGCTAGCCAAGGGCTAACAGCCACCTCGGTGAGGCTGACACGAGGCTGGGAGAGCAAAAGTGCAGGGCTCAGAGACCCCATCAAACAGTGTCCTGGCCCTGTGACGTGCAGGGAGAAGATGCCGAACCGTTCGACTCGGGCAGGCCTGGCCCAGGAGATGGTGATGGGTAGGTAGATGGGACAACCCTTCCTTTGAGCTGCCGCCCTGCCTAAGCCCTGCATCCAAAAAAATAAGTGTTCTGCAAAGTGTAGGGAGAGAAGCTGAGGAAACAAGATACTACAGCCCTATCAAAGCCCTGCAAAGTCCTGACCCAGAGGGCTGGGTTGTCCGTCCGTACTCTTCATCAGTGATCCAAAGGTCACCATCCCCAGCATGAGCTGGCAAGACCCTGAAAATGTTTCCTGTGCCTACAAAGCCTGGCCAGAGCCTTCTTGAAGTCCTAAGAAAAACAGCTTAATTGCCCCTGGAGGCCAGCACCATGAAAAGGCTCTTTTTTATCATTTTTTTAAGCAGTCTTGAATGGATTTATGTTTCCTCTTGGCCCAGAGAAATATCCAAGTGGAGCCTTCAGCCTGTCCCGATTCTGGCTTCATGTGACACGGGGGACGCCGGGACCTGCTTCCTCCGTATTTCATGCAGACAAGAGGCAATCTTGAAAGCGATCCAGCGGCTGTAATTAATTCTGGGTGGCCAGACCCAGGGAACAAGCGTTCCTGCTAATGAAGCTTTTCATGTATCAGCTTCCCGGCGCCTTCTGACGACTTGCAGGAATGGGACATTCGAGTCCTCACGGATCCACGGCATGAGGCAACCGTGGGGATGGCAGAGAGAAGGAAAGCTGGCCCATCCCATCACACACGTCCCAGGATGGGTGCTTGTCCACAGGACAACACAGAGGTTTGCAACCCAAACTGGATACATGTGAAATCAGCGCCCCGTCCCTGCACGTCTGTTACGGCCTTGATACTAGTGTTCAAATCTGCCCAAAACCTCATTTGGGTGGGAAGGGTAAGGCAAAGTCTATTGCAAAGGTGTTTTCCACTGCCATGAACATGATGCTAATGAATGAAATTAATCCATGTGCCCTTGGGTTGAACTTTTTAGTTCAGCAGCAGCTTTGCAGCCTTAATTGTGAAAAAATAAAACAACTAAAAAAAAGGGGGGGGGGCTTTTTCTGCTTTTTAAAACTGCAAAATAATCCCTTTTCTCTGCTGTGACATGTTGCCACCAGGACTCATACAGTGGCAACAAGCCACAGGTCACAGACCTGGGACCAGACAGAAAAGGCTCTCTGGGGTGATTTGGTGTTGCACACCTAGTGCCTGGCAGAGCCAGGCCCTTGCCCCGAGGAGCAGCTCCTGAAGCTTTGCTAGGACCACTGTAGTGATGACCTTTCAGCTGCACCACCACAGTTTTCCCAGTGAAGCTACTTGCAGCCGACCATGACAATCGTTCTTTGAAAGCTGCTTCCTGTTCCATCAGTGTCAGTCCGTGCTGAGAAGAAGGAATCAAAAGGGTTATTCAGCCTCTCTTTGGCCTCCTTCTGAAATAGCCTTGGGACATAGCAGTAGCAGTGACTTTTCTTCCTCGTAGAAGCAGAAATCAGGGCATAGGAGCTGTGATCTACTGTACTGTTTCCAGAGCTTGCTTGGCAAGACCGCGATGTCCAGAGGGTTTTTGGGCTGGCGGATGCATTGTGGAGCAGACCTTGTTTCCTGGGATGAATGATCCCTGGAATTGTTTTGGCCATCCTGCACATTTGCAGTGGCCAAGTCTTGTGTTGAGCACCCTTGGGAGATCCCGTGTATTCATATTTCCCTGTGGCTTCCTCAGGAACCGATCACCAAGCATGGTGGGGGTCCTTAATCCAAGACTGGTTGTGAATAAAGCAAGCCTAGGTCACTTGGAAGCCATTTGTGTGCACACATCCATCTTTGAGAGTGTCTGTAGCACATGGGCTGGCTTACAACTATTCCCTAGCACAATGCAAGCAAGGCCAGCATCTCCATCTGGATGGCAACTAGGCATGTACAACCGGAGAGAGCATGGATTTATGGAGAAAAT